CCGCCACAGTGCGGGGAGACGGTCTCCTCGACGTCTTCAGCCAACTCCTCTCCGTCTGCGCCTCCGAGAGTCGAGCCTTCGGGCTCCGACTCCAGGGTCTGAACGTCGCTGTAGTGGCGACCGTAACAATGGCAGACAGAAGTGAAGTGACTACAAGAACGACAACGAGATATTCGTCGGTTTCATCGGCCAAAGCGAGTTCCATCTTGTTGACCAAAATTTCTTCCACCATTTCCAGTAATATTATGTTTTTGCGGCTCGGTCGATGTTGTTAAAGTTTGTTGCCATAATTTATTTTTTGAAAGAAGATAATATTTGCGTTTGGATTTAATCGAGAATGAGCTAAATACAAATCGTTCAACACATAGACCGATCTCCGAGAAAATTTCCCAGACGACGGCGTGTGTTACTAGCCAGCTAGTATTTTTATCGTTCTCGTCGGCCCGCAGCATTAGAATTTCAAGCGCGTTAATAATAACAATTTTATTTTATTTGCAAACAATTCCCAACATATTGTAAATTATAAATACAGTAGTAAATCTGCTCACCTCCTATAAGCAAAAGCTTGGGTGAGAGGCTCTTAAATTAGACATTCAATTTAAATACAAATAATAACAATTAAGTACAATATGAGATATTGAGATTTACTTAATACAAAATAGAGCGTTAATTTTTCTAAAGACTATAATTATTTATATCCACCGACACGGTCGTGGCGCGAGATAAGTAAAAAAAAAAATGCTTGTATATCGAAGCAGGAGTTGCCTATTTAAACTGTGTAAAATACAGGTAAATTTGTTATACGACATAACTATTTTCTTATTCATCAATCAACTCCTAGAAAACTCCAAAACATCAGAAATATTGTGTATAACGTGCTTTTGTAAAAATCATCAAAATCTTAAATAGTACGTTTAGAAATGAAGTTATAAATGAAAAAGTGCGAACTTTTTAATGGAAATTTATATTAAATTCAGAATCACGGTAGCCGTCGTCGTCGTCGTCGTCGTCGTCGTCGTCGTCGTCGTCGTCGTCGTCGTCGTCGTCGTCGTCGTCGTCGTCGTCGTCGTCGTCGTCGTCGTCGTCGTCGTCGTCGTCGTCGTCGCATCAGCGTTGCCATTGTTACCAACAATATTACCGTTCTTATATAGATTATTGTGTAAATACTCAATATTTAATAATGATAAATATTAGTGATATTACAACAAAAACCCTCCTTAAACTACATGCAAAAATGGCTAAGTAAAAAAAAATATAAGATCTTTAAGCAATATAAAGATGTGATATCATGAATAAATACTAAGTATATTATTGAATTTAAGTAAACTTATTTTGTTTCAATAATTTATTTAGGTACTTGGCGAGGAATTATTTAGAATAGTAGGTATATAAATATTAATAATAATATTTTTTAAATAATAATAAGTTATATTTTAATAGTCCTTCGCCATTTAATTATTTTGTTCATCACACTTTGTTCTTTTAAGAAATAATTCCTCTTCAAGTAAATAAATTATTAAAAAAATAAGTTTACTTAAATTCAATATACTTAGCATTTATTCATGATATCACATCTTTCTAGTGCTTAAAGATCTAATATTTTTTTTTTACTTAGCCATTTTTACACGTAGTTTACGAAGGGTTTTTGTTGTGGTATATTTTATAAAGGGCCGTTAGTATACTTCAGGCTTCTAAAATTATGATCTTCCCGGCTGTTTTTTTCTCCCAGTCCGCCACTGCAATTCTGAGAGAAGATCGTCTATCAGCCTATAATGTCTTGAAATCAAATGTATCTTAAGTAGGTATTCTAAATTCAAAAAGATATGCTAAATTATTTAATCAGTTTTGCTTATGAAGCAAGTTACACAAAACTGAATAGAAATTAGAAAGTATGGAGTACACAAATGCAATGACTAAATCCTGTGTAAGTAACAATCAAATCCCAAAAATATACATATGTGTTAGTGGTTAGTCTAGAACTCTTTATTATAAGAAAACAAATCACAATTTGATATATCATTATATCATAATACAAATGTATTTAAATAACAAGGTATAAAATCACTAAAAAATATTTATAAATTAGCAATTCTTTAAAAGACAATGGGTGTAATTAATAACAAGTTTAATTGATGATAAATTGTGTTAAATGATTGCAAAAATAAGTTATTAAAAATAAAAAATTTCATCAGAAATAAAAAACATTGGTTATTCTCCTTCATCTTCAACATTACGTCATTACCAAATTCCAACAATTTTTGTTTATTTCTGTAATTTTATAATAACATATTAGTGAACAAAACTACTATAATTTTTTTAAAGATAAATAGTAGTTAATTTAACTAGAAATAATTAAATAGGGGTTTATAAGATAAGATTCATTTATACTCCTATCAATAATATATTTGAAACATTCAGTTCATGGATGGCCAAAGAAGATTAATCCAGTAGAAACAAATTATAAATCTTAGTACAAATGTCTATAACCCTCGTCCAAGTTGTTTAATATATTATCTTTTCTAGAAGTAAAATAAATATTAATGGTTTAAATATAGTATAAATAGTATTAAATACTATATAATGAACATTTTTATTATAATATTATAACTGTAATAATGTGTAATTTAGTATAAATTTTTTTTGAAAACCTTTGCAACGACATTACAAACATTTCAAAAAATAAAAATAGTAAAAAATAATGATATATTATATTATTTAAAACCATTGCTAACATAATTTTAAAATAAAATTATTAATATGTCTTGTCCACGGACTAAGATATACAAAAAGTTTGCAAAATTAGTTCACACATAGGTAACAGTTATATCTTTGTTTCAAAATATATATTTTTTAATGTAAAAATGTAAAATGCCTACCTATGTTGAAAAGAAATAAAGAATAATATTATGTTATAATAATTATTATAATAAAAATTGTTTTGGTAATTGGTATTCATATTATTTTAGTTCAATGCTAAATCCACTAAATAGATGGCGCTGGGTGTCCGTGATGTACCATATGAAAACATTTGGGTTCCACTGATAATACTCCGTTTCCCACGGACTAAGATATACAGGACTGGACACGAGACACGGACTAAGATAAACAGGACTGGAAACGAGATAGTCATCTATGGAACTACAGTGTAACGCTTCTGGTACAAGTGCGATTTTAACGCCATCTATGATCCGTTCTACGAAATATTAATACATCAGTGTCCAGCACGAATTAAGATATTGGCATTTGAAATTGCTTCATTCCAAGCAGTTAAATTAACCACATCTTTTGAACTTTTAAATAAAGTGTATTTTTTTTCTCTCTGAACATCCCGTACAGCTATCCACAGAGCATTTTCTCGGCATTTTAGCGAATAATAAATGGATAATATAGTTGGTAAAATGTAATGTACATTAAATACTAAATGCTAATACCTAAGAGCCAGTGGCGTATTTACGGGGGGGGGGGGGGGGGGTCCCCGGGTCTCGACCCCCCCCCCCCCCCCCAGAAAAAAATATAATCTAATATAATTATTACATTATAACTCGTATGTGTTTTTTTTATATTATAAACTTGTAGGTACCTAATATTTAGACCCCCCCCCCCACAAAAAATTTGAAAATACGCCACTGCTAAGAGCTAATAGGTGCGTATAAATCACGGACTAAGATAGAGTCACAATAGAGTTATCTTAGTTTATCTTAGTCCGTGGTATAAATGTATTAAACTATTGTACCTAATTTTATTATGAACAGAAATAATATGCAAATAAATATATATGTAACAAATGCTAAATATTATCAATAGATAGAGCCACATTTGTCCATGTACTACAAGCGTTACACTATGGTTCCGGCTACCCGCACTCCTCCCGTCTATCGTTTCCAGTCCTGTTTATCTTAGTCCGTGACACGAGATGAATATTGTGGTTACGAAATGGTTTACAACAGGCGGAGTTCGGGGGGATATTTTCCTTTTAGCATTACTAGCGCCGTCTTAGTGGATACTTATGGAACTAGATCACATTATTGTCATATAGTTCCAAAAGTATCCACTAAGACGGCGCTAGTAATGCTAAAAGGAAAATATCCCCCTGAACACCGCCTGTTGTACTACATTTCGTAGTCAACCCCCCACACCCTCCAACCTTGTCGTGTCCAGTCCTGTATATCTTAGTCCGTGCCGTTTCCAGTCCGTGGACGATTCCCACCACGGTTTAAGATAGATCGTGATTCCCACAGTAGCTGATTCCGCGAAATCAAAACTTTTCATGTCCGTATGTGATAACAATTTGAATTTCGAACGTTTATCTTAACTTTTTCCTCTTTGTTTTTGTTGTTAGTTGTTACTTGACAGTTGTTAATGCCTATTGCCTAATACCTATTTTGTTTTTACGAAGTTTAAAGTTACGAAGTTACGAGTTACGACCGAAAGTTGTAGTTGTTAAATAATCAAACTACTGAACTGAAGTAAGACGTTAAGTCTATTGTCACGAGTTCCGGTGACTGTAGTGGTCGTACTAGGTATTGAAGTATTAAAGTGAGTTCCAAATCTATTAATATTTCTCTCATATTTGATTCTCATTTCTTTCGAAATTTGTTTATTTCCCCCTATACGGGTGATTTTCAATTTCGTTTGAAACTTCAAACAATCTAAATAACTATCAAATTGCAGTCCGATAAGAATATTAACACAAGTCATAATTGATTTCCAACTATTAACCATTAGTCAAGGCCCAAGTCCTAAGCCCAACCATTTATTTTGACCAATTATTACTTTTTGAGTCTTGCACGTGTGTGCTTAAATATTTTAATGAATACTTTCGACATAAATTAACTTCACCTAGGTACCTGTGTCTAGAATTCCATAATACGATATTTTGTTTATTCTTCTAAACTTGTGCATGCAACACAATTATTTTTAACAATATAGGTACACTTTTTATTCATACAAAACTGTTACTATTGTAATTAATGTATATATATTTGTCACCAGGTATCAGAATGGATAATAAAGCTGTACACCAACCAATGGTCACTGACGAACCTCAAAATGAAGTTCAAGTTTCCAACATTCACCCATTGTCTGATCTCATGAATATAAGTGTAGCGTTTAAGGAAATAGTGTCAAAGGATCCACCTAGGTATACAAAATTTCTCGAAGCTATCAATAAGACATTTGAAGAAATTAGCGATTGCATTGGGTAAGTTATAAACAATTTCTATAATATATTATTCATATCTCTCTCTACTACTGGAGTCAGTAGTTTTTATGTACCTAGCTATAAAACATTTTCATTTTTTTTAGTCCAGAAGAGTTTAAAAATATAATGGGCGATATATCATTTTTAAAAAGTAAAAGGAATGTAACAAATTTGTTGTCTACATTGAAAACTCAGATTAGGAATCTGATGAGCAAGCATTTTGAACAAATTATTGAGGAAGAAAATCTGTCTGAACTATTTACTAAAAAAAATGCATTAAATGAGGAAGAAGCAAAGTATATTATTTTGGGTTTTATTAGTTATTTATTATTAAGTATGATCACATTGATATATTATATGAGAAATTATTGTTAATTTTTAGAAAATATTACATTAATAATGAATCCATGGAAATCATAGAATTAGAAGAGACTATACGTAAACTTGATGTACAAATTTCTGATTTGGAAGAGACTAATGAAGTTTTGTTCAATCAAGGAAAGTTCAATAAACAGCGATTTGATCAAGTATCGGAGAGGATAACAATGTTAATAGAAGAATGTGAAACTAAATACGTTAACATTTTACAACAAATAGACTTAATAAGAAATGATTTCACCAACATACTGAAAGATCCTTGATCATCAGATAGAATTTATTTTTAATTTATGAGTAACACTAACCATTAAGAAATGTCAATTATACTTTTATATTTAATACTTTCGTTTATTGTGATTATAATATAGGTTATTAGAATAAGGCATTTACTACAAGACCTAAAATAACGACTGCAATGGGTTAAATGATATCTAGAGCCTATAATCTATCTCCGACCCTAGCGCTACATACCATGTTTGTGTTAAGCTAAACCAGCCTTGTGATTAGGCTTTATATTAGTATGAATTAATTTATTATCAAGTTTAAAGTTAAGAACATAATATCTACTTTATTACTATATTTACATTTTTATGCAAGTTAAGAGTATAAAACATACTAAATTTTAAAAATGATCATGCATTGCAGACAAATTTTTATATTGTGAAAAATCCGACATACATACTCAGATAATATTATATAATATTATATATTCTTTACTTTAAGATCAATAGTAGGTCAACCTACTTTAATATTAAAGATGGTTCTGCTGAATGCACATTGGCATGTTATGCGTGGATCAGAGAGAAACATATAGTGCGCAGACATTCACTTTAATGAAGACTCAGAATATTTTATAAATAAGATTTATTTTGTAAGGCAGAGGTATTCAAGCTGTGCGTCGCGGCTCCCAAGGGCGTCGCGGGAGTTGTCGAAGGGAGCCACGTCATATAATTGAAAACCAATAAATATTTTAAAATATTTTTACGAAAATCGTTTATTATTATCATTGAGGCACACCGGTTGGGAAACGTTGAATTGTCTACAGTCTACACTCTACAATAATTATTTTCTAAATATAGCTTTAATTGGTCGCGTAAGTCGCGATAGCGATACCATCGACTGCCATCGTTGAATTATCAGTGCGTATGTCGTGTTTGGCAGTATTAGTCACGAGTTGTGTTCGTCCATTGACTATTAATGTGTTTACGTGTACAAAAGTGATAGTTTTCTCGTGTTAGTTAAATTTTAGAGTTTTATCAGGATGGATAAATTTTTGAACAGACCTAAACTTGATAATCCGGAATTTGATAGTTCTAAATTCTAATACTGTAAGAAAATCAAAACACCGTAAATATGATGAGAGTTACATGGATTATGGTTTTACGTATACGGTAGTGGAGAATGAAGAACGCCCACAGTTTGTTGTTTGTTTCAAAGTGATGGCTGTTGAAAGCATGCTCCCTAATAAAATGAAATGTCATTTGGAAACGTTACATGAAACTTTGAAAAACAAACCATTCATATAAACATTAATTTTTTTGTCATTTTTAATTTGGGAGCCGACAACATTTTGCGAAGACTCAAAGGAGCCTTGGGATGAAAAAGTTTTAATACCTCTGGTGTAGGGTAAAAAAATTTTTATTTCATTGGCAGTCATCGGTTGATGAGAGTAGATTCTTAGAATCTTGCTTATAATTGTACGTTTGTACTTGAGTATTTAATTATAAATTTGATAGTCAACTGACAATTTACACTTCGCCAGTGTTCAGTGGTTATTTAAAGGGGTGGCCAGAGGGGCCTGCCCATTACTTCATGAATCATGGCCCATTAGCTGTGCTCTATATTATTATTATTAGTTTATTTCTCAAAAAAATAATACTGGACCTCGCTGAGTATTCCCGTGTAAAGGCCCAATAATAGCTATACTATGCTAAATATAGTTGTGACATACAACTTATGAGTAACTTACTAATACTTACTTTTAAACTTTTATACTTATAAGTATGTACATAAGTATTATACATTATTATTATTATAATTAATAATATATCTAAAATTCCTATATAGTATTAACTAATAAAGTAATAATATATCTAAAATTCCTATATAGTATTTGCTAATAAAGTAATAAATAATAAGTATTTTTATAAATATTTAGGTACTCGTGTAGTGTGCTACCTACCAAAAAACTGAACTTGTGCAGATAGGTAGTATTACTACCTATACTGGGAAATATGACACGTACTCTTAAGTGTTATATTTTTATTTAATTTTACTACAAGAAAGAACCTGTGGCTTGAGTTATAAAGATAAACAACATATTATAATATTTCATATTTGTTGATCATACAATATAATATATAAATTATATATTATAATAGCTAAATAAAAATGATGTGTAATTTAAGTAAGTGCTGGTAAATATCCACGAAGCCCCACAATAACTTACTTTTAGATATTAAATTGCACTGTGTTGTGTCCTTTCACCTCGCTTTGTAAAGCAGTAGATTTGTTAGACCGCCAACTAAAAGAGAATGGTGGCGGTCAATTAAAACACAACATAACAATAATTTTAAATTTATTTGTAGTTTTTTGGGATAACCTAAACACAGAATAATATGTCAATATATAACGTATTAAAATACTAGACAATGATGATCATCAGCAATACATTAAGTACATTTAAGTTAAATAAATTGTTATGATTTATGAATCAGTATTCAGTATTCAAAAATGGTAAACATCTTAATACTTTTTTGGTAGGTAAGTAGCTTTTTACGGTAGCATACTATATATTATTAGGTATAAGAAGTATTGCTTATTTTTATATTCATCAAATTCGTATAACAATTATTTATAATTGAAAAAAATAATTGATAATTTTCATAAATTGTTAATTTATTTTACCATAATAATACACAATATTACAATAATATGTTTTAATAATTGCTGAGTACATTTTGAAAATAAATTTTAATTTACATGTACATAATACTTGTTTTTCAAACAAAATTTAAATATAATATGAAATTTAGAAATATGTTTACCTTACCAAAATAACAATAATAATTTCTATGCAGTGTTTTAAGGATATGTGGCTGGTATAAATGAAGCACTATAAAGAAATTAACAGAAAAGTAATGTTAAATTTTTAGTAATACATATTTTTTTTTATTTAGGTATCACAAGTATGAAATAAATTATATAATTTTATTAATAAAGTCAAAAAGAAACTAATTAAATATATCCATTGATTGTACCCAAGTATAAGTTAAACAATACACAATTAAATTGGTTATTGAAATTTATCACAATTGATTAGAAAAAAAAAAAAAATAATGTATTTAGTGTTTACTGGACCAATGCCATTAGCTCGTCTTTTAAATATGGATGTTCCTCATTGTTTTCAGGTGGATCGTTTGTGAAGAGTAAAACAGTGGTAGGCACTAAGTTCAATTCACTTAAGGTCATGTTCTCGTGCTCGTTACCAAATGTACTTCCACTGGACAGTATCAGCTTGAATGGACGCTCTTCGTCAAATACGCTTTCTTTAACAAACTCCAGTACATCGGACAAATGTTCATTGACACTGAATGTTCCCTGATTGAATAAATCAAAACATTATATAAATAACAATTAAAATTGATTCTTTTCAATGCAAGTTTACCTGTAAAATCAAACAGTCTGGAAACTTCACTCGAATCAAACAGTACTTGTAATTTGATTTGTATCTATTTTGTTCTTTCATACGCATGTTTTTAGTTTTCAGAATCATTTCACTCTCCAATTTTTCAGTTCTAAAATAAAATAAACAAGTAAATTGTATTATTTAAAATTTGAGTATATTATGATGATTTTTCATTTGAAGAAAAGTATTTTTTATTTATTAAGAGGACTTGTGCCACGTGCCAACACTACCTGTTATTCATAAATAAAAGTGGTTTTAAATCGAACTTACTGAGATAGTATTCTCAGGCTCTCAACAGTAAGATTTACAAAATGTTCACAGTAAATAGGGATTTTTTTTTTGGATAACTTGAACAAATAATTTGTGTCATTATTTATTATATTTACCTTTTTTGATGTTCTGCTTTTATTTCAGCAGTAGAGACTATAAAAAACTCTGGGGGTAGTGACACTTGTTTTGATGCCTGTGACGGTAAAAGAACCTGAGCATTTCTATCCAACACCAATTGAATGCGTTCTGCAGACTGCAAGTCGTCCACAGTGCTCTGCACTGAGGCTAAATTACATAAACATTCTTCTGGGAAAACTAAAAAATCTTCTTCTTGTTCTTGGTACATAAGTCTTTTTCTAACAAATCCAATAGATTCTAAGAACTCAATTGCTCCCTTAATAGGTAACACTTTTTCCACAAATGTTTTATTCGTTAATCTCACTTTCCGATATTTTTCTTCATCCTTATTTCTAATGATATTTTCGGCATATGTTACTAGCAACTTAATGCACTCTTCAACCTTTTCAACAGAAAATTATTATTATTAATAAAATGGTTTAATTAATTCTACAGTATTAATTTGAAGATTTTATTTTACCTTGGTTCTATTGTGATTGCAGTTTTGGATTAGTAGAATTGATTGTAGTATAGGATCATCTTTCATTTGTTCTTTAATAAATTCTTCAATTTTTACATGCCATTCTTCTTGTGGCAAAACTTCCAGGCCTAAATGCAATTAATTTTATTAAAACATATTTTTTACTACTCCAGTAAATTTAATAAATATAAAATAAAAACTCGCCTATCATCGGACATTGGAAAAAAATACCACTAGTAGCTAATTGGGTAGGGACCTCAGCGCTCGTATTTTCTTCTTCTGAATATGTAAATGTATCTATGTTTTGATCCACGTTTTTTCTCTCGGCTTCCATTTCTTTTCTAGCTCTTGACTTGATGGCAGCCAACGAACTGAAAACCAAAATTGTACCCGCTTGCAACATATATTAAACATTATTCTTATAATAGATTGCCTATTAAGGTATGATATTATACTCACATGTTAAGAGGGCCAGTGGTGGTCTTTTTACTCTCAAACCGGGCCAAGGCTGCGGCCGCAGCCTGTTTGGCTTCATCGGTAGGTTCGACTCTACAGGCGCGAGACGTCTCACCCGGTTTGGCTACAGTCTTGGCTGTGGCGGTGCCTTCATTCAGACGGTGACCGGGCCCCGCTCTTTTGAACTTCACGTCAGCCTTTTTTTTTGGAAAAATTTTTTCAATTTATCGCTCATTATATGCGCGGGGTGTATGATTTGGGTAACTTCAGCTGAGACACGTCCTCCCTTAGTTCATCGACTACCGTGTCTGGAAAAATAAACACGACGTTTGATGAGTAACTACTACCTGGACAGTCAGACCAGCCGAATGTTCCAGAAATGATTTGTTACCAACCGGTGGACAGAAAACGCTCGTAGATGTCTCCGCTGTACTTGCCCCAAACGAATATCAACAGGACTAGCAGCAGACACTCGAACAGCACTAGCGAGTTGAATATGTCGACTTGGAATCGGTCGAAGCTGACAAAGTGCAGTGTGTCGCACAGGGCCCGAACAACCACCGCGCGCAGGTCTGACACCGAGAAACAGTCGTCGAGTACGGTGAGCGTGTAGAGCTTGGCGAACGTGGACAGACCGTGCAGACAGCCGATCGTCGATGTATCGTTGTTCGACGGAGGCGGAACGACCTGTTCTTGAAATGTCATTACAGCTGCTCACGGTGATTCCGCGTATGCGGGCCGGACGATGCGATCGGCGTTCGAAAGACCATAATAATAATAGTAATATAGTATTGTTATTTAATTGTACTATCGTCGAACGGTCAGCTAAAGAAGAACGACGACAACCAACGTAAGGCGGATAACGTGTAATATTAAGTAAGCGCGGTAACTATAATATATTACGTATGTTCTACGACTTCTGCGTTTGTTACCGACTTACCGTGCATTGGTGTATTACATTATTTACAATATTTTATGTTCATGGAAGCTAGAACGCTACTACGCATGACCCCCCTTATCAGTTATCACTAATCATCGACGATAATGACCAGGTATCGAAATATCGAATATCGAACTAGGATACAACCATCTATTGACCTATAATTCTAATCGTCGATCTTCATGGATGATGGATACAACTATATTCATGGACATAGCCCATAGCCGTTCCAAGAGGGGGGGCAAATGGGGCAAGTGCCCTAGGGCCTAGGGCGTCTAAAGTATTATGAATTTAGGGGGCGTACTAAAAATGAATGATAAAAAGAAAAAATGTTGTGTTTTTATTTTAGGTATTATTATTTTCTTTTTATACTGTAATATTAAAAATGAGTACTTATCAAATTGTATACTATCAGGGGCGGACTGGAACGGGTCCGGCCCACTGTTCCAAGTTTATTAGCGGCCCTAGGTGTTTTAGGGCAATTTTTTTTACTCTAATTGCACTTATGATTTATGAACTTATACACACGATGTATAACAGAAACACTCGACAAATTGAATAGGTAACTTTTGTTCTAATCATTTAAATATTTATTTTAAATAATTTATAGACTTTTGTGAGTACAGTATAATATTTATAACACCAATAAAAAGGCAGGCAAGTGGATGTCACTCTGCTGTACAGTAGGTTACAAGTGGGTCACTGTAATGAATGGTATTAAATTTGAATTTAATGATATAATATCATTGTATACGGAAAAGACGGTTAATATACAGTATTTGATGTCTTGATGATACTATTGTGAATAAAGTACTTAGGTAATTAATTTCAGTATTAGGAATTATAGTATTTACTATAGTAGGTGAAATTCATTGTTAAAGAAAAAATTACATTTGAAAATGTCATTGCGTGTTTATAAAATATAACGATATACTCTAAAAGTTTCATATACTAAAAAATAATATTTTTAAATTGCAACAAAATAACTAAAATCATTATTCTTGGTTTTAATATGACATTTCGTCCAAATTTGAATTAAAAAAGTCAGTAAAAAATAACTGTTTCTTATAACTATATTCTTCAACTATATTTTATAGATTTTTTGGTTACAGATATGAACAATTATGAGAATCTTTGTTTTACATTTTCAATCCATAGTTATAAAAAATTAAACACTATACATTTTATAATTTTTTAAAAATACAATGATTGATAATTTTCGAGATTTTGATAAATTCTGATAAATTTGAACTTTAAATACTTATAAAAAAAAATTGTGCCTATGTTTGTATTTTTAATATTTTTAAACTGCTATTGTAACAATATATCAGGAGTCTTATATTAAATTTTCACACTGTTAAGCCCACAAAATAAAATTTTATTGATATTTATAAAAAAAAACTAAACAAATTGAAATTTGAAATTGTCCGTAAACAGCTCAAAATGAGTCAAAATATTTTCAAAATTGTTATGTTGTATAGATAATGAGAATACAAATATTCAGTGAAATTTTCATGAATTTACAGTTATTAATTTTTGAATTACAAAAAAATAAGGAAATCGCTACCTAGGTACCTATATATGAGAAATCGAGTGAATATCCAATGTTGAAAAAATTTAAACTTCAATCGCTCATAAAAATTTTATTTGACTTTCTGGTAGAAATTTTTTTTTGGCAAAAGTAGATAAAATTATGATGAATCTTGTATAACATTTTCAAATCTGAGTTTTAAAAATGAAAACTTTTATGAATTTCTAGCTAAAAATAATTTGTGAATTTTTGTCATTTTTGCGTATTTTGTCAATATTTGAACTTTAAATGCTTAAAAATAATAATTGTGACGACGGATTTTTAATATTTTTCATCTTCCTTTGAAAAAGGAGCCTTCAATTAAATGTTCAAGAGTTTTTACCCAACAAATAGAATTTTATTGATATTTATAGAAAAAAAAATAAAATTGAAACTGAAAATGTCCGAAAACAGCTCAAAATAAAACTTGAAAATGTTATGGTTCATAGAAAATTCTAATATAAACATTCAGCAAAAATTTGATGTATTTACGGTCATTTGTTTTAGAATTATAAAAAAAACTAAAGTCGTTTTGGCAAAAACCTATTAGGCGTAACAATTCCTGTTTTTTCTTAATTTTCTTTTGAAAACTATTGGAAATTTTAAATTTTGACCTCCCGAATGCACTAACTTAATGCACCTTCCCATCGAACAAGATACTGTTGAAGAAAATAGAAGCAGTTCTACTTCTTCCCAACAGTGACGGAAGACACAACAATTTAAAAATTTAAAATTAAAAAAAACACACATGATTGGAAAATCAATACATTCATCACTCCGTTCGGAATCTAAAATTGTATATAAAAGTACCTACCTACCTAATTTTTTTTTGAAAATTTTAAAATAAGTACCCAATTTGTAAATCTAATTTTTAAACACATTTCGATAAAAAAAAAACGTATATTTAAATCAAGTAGCTTATTATTTAAAATTTTTTTTTATATTATTATTTTGAAGCAAATTAAGTTTAAACGTAATAACTTTTTTCAAAATATTGTTTTTGGAAATTTCCTGACATGAGAATATTTCTTAAATTATTTATTATCCATGACATATTCATGATTGTAGTCATATGAGTAGTGTAATTTTTTTCAGGCCATTCTGTTATAGTATTTTTAGGTATATAATATTATATATAATACATATTATTCCCGAAATTTTCTTTAAAATTTAAATTATTGAAATATAAAATAATACTTAACTTCAAGCACGTATCCAGGATCAAATTTCGGGGGGGGGGGGGGGGGGTTGAACCCCTAACCCCCCCCCCTGTATACGGGCCTGCTTAGCTTAGAAACCATCACGTTGGCTAGTACCTACTCATTACTCATAATATATTGTATTCACTATAATTTCGTTATTTTCCGGCAGTTCTACCGTGCGGTAGGTATACGAATTTCAATCGATTTACAAAATAAATATCCTATATAAACCGAAATTTGGCTTGGTGCTAATTTTTACGAGCTAAAGCCTAATTATTCGTCTAATTTGACAGGAATAAAATAGTCAAATTGGTCATAGTCTTTTCATTCGATCTGAATTTATTTATTCCCACTTTATAAATGCGTTGCTATAGTCTATACACGCCACACGGCATAAAATCCCTGACAGGAAAATAACGTTTTACGTTTCCAGAAATAAAATATTTTTAATTGTATTGATATCCATATTGTTTAATTATAATTTATATCTATATATTATGTTTTTGGTATCTTTTATATTATGGTAGTGTGCTAGTGTCTATATTGTGTAGTTTGTGATGGGCAATAGCAGCACAATCGTCCAATATATTATTATAAAATAACAAAAAAAACAAATACAAATACAAAAATTGTAGATATACATATTTGCTAGAAATAGTAGGGGCCCAACACTTACAATCTGGTACCGGCCCACTGTGCTATAGAATAGTGGCACACCGGGCCAGTCCGCTACTGTATACTATTAAATATAAAATTGTGTAAATAATGTGTTTAATCTTAATGCGACATACCTTCAATAATATGTTCAATATTCATAAAAACCAATAAAAATATTAATACTTATAAGTTATATAAGACTACAATAGTAATTTATTTACATGAAATATATTTTAAATATGTATACACATCATTAAAATAATTAATTAATATACTTATAAACTAAACTAATTCATATCTTTGGTAGTAACTAGTATTAAATTATTTTTTTACTTGAAAAAGATTTTTATTTCTGGTTTTGTAACTGACAAATTTAAGAATATCTCAGTATGGATTACAGAAACCATTTTTAATTATAAACAAAACGAAGTCCTCAATTGTTGTGTTTAATAATCCTCCTTTAATTTGCCTGGTAAAATATGGAGAAATGTCATCATTATTTTATATTTAGAGAATAATATTTCAATAATACATCAAATATCTATACTGACAGACGTATACGGCAGTAGGTAGTAGGTGCATGACTTTCCGTCCGGTATATTTATAGATAATTACAATAGAATAGAAGAATTAAGAAAAATGACACAAATTATAAATGGTTCATAGCTGATACATTGGTCAAGCTATGAACCATTTATAATTTGTGTAATTTTTTCTTAATTCTTCTATTCTATTGTAATTATCTATAAATATGCCGGACGGAAAGGTCACGCACCTACTACCTACTGCCGTATACCTATAACGGAAGAGATCTTCAAGTCGGACGGGCTACAGGCTTGAGGACGACGGCCCTCAAACTCTCCTCAGCTCCGTTATGAACACACGGCAGTAAGTTTGCAATTCTTTCCCCTCGGCTCCACGCACGGATGCGCACGATCCTTATAAGATAAAAGATAACTAAATAATTATCTAGATAAATTATCTAAATAAGTCTCAACACTGGTTATATGACCACATTTCCATCAAAATTCTTAACTACACCTATTATGCATTTAGTTTTTCAGGACTTAAAAATGATTAAAGTCTTATAGTGAGACTTTAATAACTCATAATAATATTGTAAATGTAATTTGAAAACCTACATTATAAAACAAATACCTCGGGTATATTTTATTAAACCGGTTTATTCATTTATGCACAGAAATACACTTACCCAATACATAATAATATGTTACACAAATGGAATATATTATACATTATCTTATTAATATCTTCTGCACAGCAAGGTAACGGCGGAACGCTGCCGTGCCGGTCGTCATCGGTGGCGGCGGAGGAG